AGAGCGACCTGTCGATGTTGTATTCGAGTTGACACCGGAGACAGCGTTCGCATAAATGCAGACAGTCGATGGACGTAGTCTGATTTACCGAAATCATTACTGCTCCGTGGTGTGAAGAATTCCCCAGGCAGACGCAATGTCGTGCCGTATACAAGTTCAGCGGCGGAACATTGGATATCTGCCTTCAAACTCGTTCTGTTATCTAAGAGAACGAGCGGTAAGGTTTCGTACCAATTGTCGTTTTCGTGTGCTCGGAGAGCACTTTTAAGTTGGCGGTGAAACCTTTCGACTAAACCATTCGATGCTGGATGGTAGGCGGTAGTGCGTATGCGTTCCGTACCAAGCAGCCGGGTCAGTGAGGAGAATAATGCGGACTCAAATTGTTGTCCTCGGTCAGTCGTGACAGTCGAGGGACAACCGTACAATGCTATCCATCGTTCTACGAAGCGGTGAGCAACTGTCTCCGCCGTGATAGACGTGATGGGAATAGCTTCGGGCCATCTTGTAAAACGGTCAATGCACGTGAGTATGTGATCATACCCATGCGATGGTGGCAATGGTCCTACAATGTCTATATGAACGTGATCAAAGCGAGCATCAGGCGTAGCGAACGTGCCAATGGGGGCAGCTACGTGCCTGTGCACTTTTGATCGTTGACACTGTAAGCATTGCTTTACCCACATACGAACATCTTTATTCATGGACGGCCAGACGTATCGTGCAGCGATGAGGCGTAATGTGGCTGCGATACCTGGATGAGACAATCCATGGAGGGCATCGAAGACGAGACGGCGATAGGTAGAGGGTACGATGGGTCGAGGTAGACCGGTAGAAATATCACATAGGATAGTACCTGAGCTAGTAGCTAGGGGTACTTCCTGACACTGAAGGGACGAAGATTGTGGTGCTTCTGTACAGACAGGATCGTTTGCTTGCGCGGCGGCCATAGCAGGAAGATCGAGCACCGGTAAGGTAACTGCATTCGTCTGGATACGTGATAGAGCATCGGCAACATAGTTCGACTCGCCTTTAATGTGACGAAGGTCTGTCGTGAACTGGGAAATATAGTCCAAATGTCTGCACTCTCGTGGTGAGTAGCGGTCAGACTTGGTATGCAGGGCATACGTTAAGGGCTTATGGTCGGTGAATAAAATGAATTGACGTCCTTCTACTGCGTGCCGGAAATGTTTGATGGCGCAGTAGGCTGCAAGCAGCTCGCGACCAAAAGCGCTATATCTCGTCTCCGTGGGAGTAAGGCGTCGTGAGAAAAATTCAAGGGGTTGCCAACTACCGGAGATATTCTGTTGCATAACGGCTCCTATAGCAAAATCCGATGCATCAACCGCTATACTAAGTGTGGCTGATGGGTCAGGATGAGCGAGAAGTGTAACTTCAGCGAGAGCCGTTTTGATCTCTGAGAATGCAGTACGTGCGGTATCGTTCAATTCTAATTTGCGTGGATTACCGCGTAGTAAATCGGTTAATGGTCGTAACCGTTCTGCCGCGTGAGGGATAAAACGTCGGTAGAAGTTAACCAAACCGAGAAAAGCCTTCAGTTCCTTGATTGAGGACGGCACGTTGTACTCCTTGATTGCTCGAATTTTGTCCTCGCAAGGTAGAATACCCTCTTGTTTGATGATGTGACCCAGAAATATTATTTCTGATTTACCCAATTCACATTTTTCTGGGTTGACTACTATTCCATTATCCGAAAGACGTTGGAATAATAGCGTAAGGTGTTGATAATGTTCATCTACGTTTGATGATGCGATCAGCAGGTCATCAATATAGACGTGAACAAAATCCAAGCCTCGTACTATGCTATCGATAAACCTTTGGAAAGTTTGAGCAGCATTCCGTAATCCAAATGGCATTCGTAGGAACTCAAACAGACCGAAAGGAGTCGTGATAGCAGTTTTCTCGATGTCTTCAAGAGCGACTGGGATCTGGTGATATGCTCGTACCAGATCGATTTTAGAAAAGATAGTCGTGCCCTTGAGCGATGCCGTGATGTCGTGTATGTGGGGGATGGGGTAGCTATCAAAGCGCGTAACTACGTTTAATGCTCGGTAGTCGCCGCATGGTCTCCAACTAACCCCATCCTTTTTGCGCACCATATGTAAAGGAGAGGCCCAAGGACTGTGAGAAGGACGAATAATACCAGAAGATAGTAAATTGTCAAACTCACGTTTAGCGAAGGCTAATTTGTCCGGTGCCAGTCGGCGTGGTCTTGCCGTGACTGGTGGTCCGCGGGTGACTATGTGGTGTACCACACGATTGGTCACCGATGAAATCTCCTCGAATGGTTTAGTTAATCTGGGGAATTTCTCGAATAAGGCGTGGAATTTATCGTCACGCGAATAAAAAGTTCCGAGGATTCGGTACGCGTTTGTGTGAGCTTTAAAGCCCATGAATTTGCTGTTCGACGAAGTATCGATTAGCTGCAGCCTACGTGAATCGACTAGCAATTCATAGTGCTGTAGGAAATCAATACCTAGTATGGCTGTGGGAACATCAGCAATGATGAACGTCCACAGATACCGTCGTCGGTTGCCCAGGTTGACCGCGAGTTGTCGTGTACCGTAGGTAGGAATGGCTGAGCCATTTGCAGCGCGTAGTCGAAGCATTGTAGCTTGTGACTTAATGCTACCTCGTGGTACGACAGAAACTTGGGCACCCGTATCCACTAGGTACCTAGCGTTTGTGCGATAATCGTGCACGTAAAATAAACGGCCAACCTGGGGGGCAGGGCCGGCGAGTACGGCCGCTTTTACTCGCCGGCTTTGGAGTTTCCCGCCTTGTATGAGCACGGGGCTCGACAACGGCGGGCACCAGATCCGAAGGATCGATGAAACCAGCACCAACCTGCACTCGCTTCCGAAGCCGCCTTTTGGCGTGGCTTGGAAGATGCCCTCGTTGGGCGAGTGTTGACGGCTTTTCGAGAGCGTGAGCGGACTCGAGGGACGTAGGGTTGGGGTACGTTACAACGGTCTCGAAAACTAAGACGTGTATGAATACACCCTTCCCTATCACCTTGAGCCGAGGAGTGGCTGTCGTCGATATCGACTTTCGGACGCGACGTTGAGGCAACTACGTAGTTGTCTCGATTGCCAGTCCTAGCTAGAATTTTGTCTGCTGTGAGGGCTACCTGTTTCAGTGGTGCGTCCTCGAGCAGGGCCGTAACTGTAGGTTGGATAAATGCTGGTAGAGATTCGAGCCACAGTTCTTTAACAATTTCAGAATCGGCTGCCGTGGGTCCTGCAAGAGATTGCAGGCGCGTGAGGTGGTGGCTCGGTTTAGCATCACCCATGGGGTGACGTGCTAATAACGTCCTCAATCGTTCCTCCCTCGATGGAAGGAAATGTCTGAGGACCGCCTCCTTGAGACGATCGTAAACATTGGGCACATTGGAATTGAAGACAACCTCACGGACAGCTACTAAATGGTCTCCCGGTAAACATTCGAGAGCGTAAGTGTACTTCCGCCGTTGGCTTGTAATATGACGGGTCTCAAATTGAGACTCTATAGCAGCAAACCAAACTTCGGGATCGTGAGGAATAAAAGATACAGGTCGAAAGTGTATAACCTGTACGTCAGAGTCTATTACGTTAATATTATTCTTATCGTTATCCGTCATGTCAAATATATTATATATTAAAAATTAATATGAAAATATATGACAGACGTGGATAGATAAGCGATAGACTCACCAAAATTGACTTCTTTGGAAGGTTTGGTTGCGATTGCCAAGTGCTCGTAGATGTAGGTTCACCAGTTGCAGAAGATTTGACCGAAGTTGAGGCGTGTTCCAAAATTCGGGTCACCAAATGTAGCGTGGTGTCGAGTTGAGCTGAACTATGAACACCGCTACCAGACTACTTGCCAATAGACCAATAAAATTCCGATAGGCCAAAATATCAGAAGGCAAATGATTGTAGTAGTCGTATATATTTGTTGGCGATCTCGTGGTATCGAAAGAATACCGAGATCGTGCCAAAGGAGTACAAGCGTGGTTACTGAGCGTAACCGGATTCGTACAAGTTCGAAGTCAACGGGAGAGTAAGTATAATGGCTGTCATTAGCACAGTTAAACAAACGAGCACAGTAAAACAGTCACTGGTACAATTGGTTATAATAATAATTGTTTTCATCGAACCAATCGTGTTCTGTTGACAAAAGTAGGTCACTACAAACGCATGCAGAATGTCAATCATTTAAAATAGATATTCGACAGATTTTTATCCTGAATTGTGTACTCCTGTGAGAATAATGGCAAAAGACGGAGAACTGACCTGTCCGGCTTGGCTAGAAGCATGTACGAGAAGTCCAATTAGCATACCTTGATACTCAGTAGCTGAGATCATTGAGTGGTTAACTTAAGCTAATTTAGTAAATCAAACGATTGGAAATCACATGAAGTGCTGTTGACTTAGTGAATCATGTTTCCTGAGGAACCTTAGACTGGCAGTGGTTAATTATTGTTGAATCCATGTACATCTTTGGTATCAAGTTGCTAATCCTATTTTCAAAGGTCTACGCAATCGAATCGTTTATATAGTCACATCATGACATTAGAAATGATATTCTTTGCCAGAGAAAATCACTCAAAAACTATTACTATGCTTCTCCCATTCTCAGGGTTATGACTTCCTCTGAAGGATTTCCGAATGGGATGATAACCTGATGAGCAAATCGAGGACGTGATCCCGTATCCACTGGGAATATTCGAGCCTAATGGTTAATCCAACCAAACTGCGCGGTTCCTAAGACCTGAAATCGTTATTTAAGACTGTGCTTCAAGCAGAAGCAAACGTGTTTGTCACTGTTAACTTGTTAAAAATATTGAGAATGTTTGAAGCCAGCACTCTTGCGTCCATAGGGGTTTCAATAGACACTTGTCAAAATAAATTAGATTCGCGTGGTGGCACCCACTGTACAGAATTGCACAAGTTAACAGACTTATAAACCAGATAACCAAGGAATGAAATGTACATTTGTTTAAAGTGGTGGGGTTGGCGGTTTCCATCTTATCTCCATTGATGCCATCTGTAGAGATTTCTGATATGGTTGATGAGTCCAAAGGACAACATCAGGTTGACAATGCTAATGGATTAATCGAAAATTCCCCAAATCCCCTCTCGCCTCTCGATTGTGACGAGAAACCTACCAATGGGGCTGATGATTCAGTGACAGATGAGAACGACGACGATAGCAGGTACTTTTATTATTATTTATTTTCTGTCGATAGAAAACTGTTTGTCGGTGGTCTGAGCTGGGAAACAAATGAAAGTAAAGTGTCGTGCTTGTTGTTTACTATATCCTCAGATGATTTAAAGGAATATTTCTCTCGTTGGGGAAAAGTTACTCAGTGCATCATAAAACTGGATAGGTTTACAGGAAATTCAAGAGGGTTTGGTTTTGTTACTTTGGAAAGTGAAGACTGCGTTTCGAAAGTATCGTCTGTTGTTTTTGTAATTTTGTAGGTTCTCAGTGTCCCTGAGCATTGGTTAAAGAATAAGAAAATTGACCCTAAAAAGGCGAAACCTTCTCGAGAACCCTTAAAAAAGATTTTTGTTGGTGGTATTGACCCCGAAGTAACGGAAGACCAAATACGGGAATACTTTAGCAGTTTTGGAAAGGTTAGTCAACACAGTTTAATAGACCTCGATAGGTTGAGTCTTTAGACTTGCCTTATGACACTCAAAAAGGGAAAAGAAAACATTATATATTCGTCAGTTTTTCCACTGAAGCAGCTGCCAAAAAAGCTATTTCGAAGGAGCGTCAAGATATTTTCGGTCGACAGGTAAGTTGTTTATTAGTTAGTTGGTAACATTATATTCCGTCTATCAAAACTAAACGACAAATTTTTCTTTAGTGTGATGTTAGGGTTGCTGTTACACGAGATCAAGCTAACAGACAAAAAGGTTTGTCCGAACTCCTAGTTATTTTGTTTTAGTAGCTCTGAAACAATGGTATAACTGGTTAGATCCCAGCTTCTCTTATCCAGGATATGCCTTTGGTGACTACGCAAACGCTTACCCTGGCTTTGACCCTTTTACGTACAACTATTATGGATATGATTACTACGGAAGCGCAGCAGCAGCAGCAGCTGCAACAGGTTACGGTAAGTGCATATAATCCCAAAGTTTTCTCATTAGTTTTTATGTCATTCACCCCATAGTCTTGATGCTTACATAGAAATAAATTTGGTTAGTGTTTCGGTGTGTAAACTCCTCATGTACCAGTGTATGGATAAATGGTTCTCTAATTCTGGAGGGTCTCACATGTAATGGGATCATGGTTACGTGTAAACTACTTGAGCATAGTTTATTCATGAATACATAGAATGTACGTGTCAATCATTAATCCTCTATAATACCAAGTGGAGTAGTTCTGATGTTCTGATAGATAGTTAAAGTGGGCTAAAGGGAATCTAGAGGGGGTCAGACCATGACGTGCGTGTGATTAACTGACTAATTAAGGCGTCAGCATCGACTACGGTTCTTGCATTCAATACACTGATGTCGAGTGACTAGCCTTTGTCACCTGGTTTTCGGTAAACAGCAAAAATTATGAGCACTTCGGAAGTTTTCTAGATCATGGCTTTGAAATAAATCTCACTTGAACGGTTAAAAATGCATTAATTTGTGCTATTGGACTTAAGATAGCATAGAAAGTTCAGGAAGAAGTAACAAGCGTGCTCATCCTAATGTTAAGACGATATGGTGAATTGTTTGTAAAGTGTTCATTGTTCTCTAAACTACCTCTACCATTATTCCTCATATCTATTTATGTTAAGTATTTACAACCCCGAGATTCACATTATTAGTTATTTCGGAGATAACGCCCTATTTTGACTTGGTGGAAATATTGGTGCATTCCTTTTGATATATATTGGGGTGAATGATAATGTCCTGTTGACGTTTTTTGGGTGTCGTTTTCGTGGTTCATCAAACTAGTGGTCTAGTGTTGTTTCGATACAGACTTTCCCCCAATGCGATCCTTCTGAATCCACCTTAAAGGAATCATGCTCATTCTCTTGCTTGCGTTAAAAGTCGCATTAAGTAGTGACATGAGCTTCTCCAGGTTTTACAAATCTGTATTTGTACTAGTTATTTTCACATATATACAGCAGGTATTCTGATTTGAATAATCTGTATATTGTGGGATTCTTAATATTGATAACACATCACCTCCATTATAGTGGTATACATTTTATGTGCTTTATTAAGTGGTGTGCTATCACGGTTGTATTTACGAAAGAGACCAAAGTATTTTTTCAAGGAATCCTTATGGTTGTTATAACGAGACTGATACTTTATCACATTTCCGTTGGTTGCACCTGTTCACCTTTAGATAATTTTGTAAGAATTCTGAAGGGTTTTGAGATGTCAATTTTTGTATCTACTCCACGTCTTTACACACCGATGCCTTTTATTGCAAAATGTCTCCGATTCTCCTATTACTACGTAGTATTACATTTTGAACTGGTATTGTTGTGACATTTTATACTGTGTCCTGCTTTCTAGTACATGTATTTTGTATACTTGTTGTAATGAATAATGTATTTCCATATCTTCCGGGATCACCACTTTTAGGGCACATATCAAAATATTCCTTTGAAAGATTTTCGACCGATTGGATCGTAAAGTACTTTATAACTATGGCATATCTGCTTATCATTCAAAAATTCATGAATCTTATTTCTCTGAGGTGTAGAAATGCAAACCGAAAAGGAAACATTTAGGGTTAGGGAGTATGCGAGTAAAGGATGCTTATGCAGATTAGGATCATTTTTATGAGCATTTTATCACTATGTGGTGTGGAGTTTCATATCCTGTTATTTGTCATTACTAGTACATATTATGTAATCCACTACTGTCCAAATCGTAATTAGTGTTGTGCTTGCAGAAATGTTTAAACAATCAGACCTGTATTTTTGTTAGTACTCGATACAACACTGTTTTGTGTTAACTTTAGATGCTAAACCAAATTTTCTGAACTATAACTAGGAAATTCTTAGCTACTCTTGTGCTAGATATCATATGTTGTTTGCTTTCTTTTTAGGGGCATATACCAATCTAGCTGCTAATCAATTTTGTGGAGTAATTAATTCTAACAAAGTAAATCAAAGTATCCGTACTCCTGCTGCAGCACCAGGAGCTGCCACACGTATGATTGGTAGCGGCACGACTGGAACAATCGGTACGAACCCCCACCAAACCCAATCCCACACACATCTAAATTACACAAACTTACTTACTTCCCAGCTAGATCCACACCATACAACGATGTCCGCTAACCTAGATTTCTCTGTAGCACATCCTCAACCCGGTCAAGGGATGGTTGCTGGATCAGGTGCTACCCGGTTTTCCCATCCTCAGTAAGCCATAACATAATTATTCAAAGTAAAAAAACCAAAATAACTCAGTGCAAAGTCTGTTTATTCAAGTTATTTAGAAAAACTACTGTCATTAATTTGTATTCAGTGATTTATTCAAGGCATATATATGCTGGGCTTCTGTGTGATTAACTGCATATTTTGTGAGTGGTAGCAGTAAGAACCTACGAATCGGATCAGTTCATATCGTTACATTGTGCCTAGTCTGCTAAGTAAGTATGACTTATCTCGTTGCTCAATATCATCCTTGATGCGTTTATTTCCCTTCATTTTTACTTGTTTTGTTTGAAAGTTAATACGATTAATACGTACGTATTCACACATGCGTATGTACTATCTGAAAGACAGTTGTTTATAAATTCACTTTATTGTATTTGAAATCTCCCTTATCGATCAGTTAGCTTTAGTGTGGTCTCTGTTTTACCCAAGTATTGTTTAGAAACAACTTCAAGAATGTATATTTAGTATTTATGTACATAAAGACACTACAATACATTTGTTGCTGTTATTTTTTAATGCATTGAGTACTTTTAGAAATCCTCTTTTCCTTGTATTCCCAACTCTTGTACATTGTTTCCTTTATATTTTTTGAAATTAACTAACATTTTTCATCTAATTTCTAACTTCAAAAAGCTGATGATTGCTAACTTGCATATTTGATTTGTATATTTCTTAAGTTGTTACTATAAGCAACATATAATCTTGGCCGAACTTTTGTGGATAAAGTGAAAGCGTTGACATCTGTTTTTATAAATTTTTATACATATATTTATGCTTAAATTCCCGGTACGATTCGGACCGACTCTCCATTTTTGAATGACTGATCTAAAATCAAAAATATCTTGAATGTATACAGATTGGATATACGGAAGTACTTTTTTCTATATTTTGTGATTGATGCACTGATGGGATTATGATGTTATTGACTGTCCACTGGTTATTTTTATTTGTATACACTCACCTATTGTGCTTCCGTAAATTCGTGATACACTACTTCCATAGTCTTTTATATTCTCTTATGAGGACTTGCGCTCGTAAAAAATGATATTGATGATCTATTCTGCAAGCATAGTTTTCAACATTTGCCAGCTATTGGATCAGTTTGTGTAAATCACGTTTAATTTATGTGATGTCCGTATAAATTTATATAAATCTGCTATTCCCTATACATTGGCGTAAAACAAAAACCCTCATAGGCATCTGGTCTTTTCATTTAGTTTATGAGCTTTATCTTTTGTGAAATGTCTGATTTGTATCATTGATTACACTTAGGAGTGCGTTCAATTTTATCTGCAACGATTTTTACTGTATCTTCACAAAATGCATGATATGTGTCACGCCTGTTTATTCAATGAAATGTTTGAGTTAGTCACACATAAAAGGATCAAGGTTCATATGCATGTAGAAACTGTCTGACAGGTTGTATGTACCATATTCTAACTTCGTGGTACCCCGTTTTTATAAAAAGACATAATGAAATTATTAAGAAATGCATTAAATTAAGTGTTATGTGTTACGTTAAGACTTTCTGGTCTTCATTTTCGTATGTCCTGTCATGGATTCCCGAATTGATGAATTACGAGTCCACAGGTCAAATTAGTGGTCTCCGAGGAATACCATTTGCTATTCTTTGTAGTATTTAAACAGTATTATGACTTTGGAAGTGTTCTCATGCCTACTTTAATACAACGTTACACTAATGCACATCATATTTTGGTGTCTTAGAAAACAGATCATGCTTCGTTATCGAATTAGCAACTTATAATTAAAATCGAGTTAGGCAAACTAAAAATTTCGCTCCCTCTTGAAATGCTCTCACATGGCCACGCGTATATAGCCTCTGTCAGGGAAGTTCTACTCACTGCCTCCTCGTGGCGGATGTGTTGTTTACGAAATTGAGAGGACGAAAAGCGAGTGTCCGGCGCTTTAACCGGATCCCAAACCAATGGTGCACAAGGGCTCCATTATCCTGAAGGAACAAATGGCGTATGAACCCGTTAGCGGGACATAGATTGGATTAAAGCATGCTCAATGCACGATTGCTTTGGTGCACTCTAGTTGGCTAATTCTTGCCCAATCAGCGCTAGTCGATACTTGGAGAATACTCTGGAAATCTTCTCATGTAAAAACTATAAATATACTAACGTTTTTCCTATTGTGCTCCTTGCTTCCATCTAACCTTGTTATTTGGAATATAATCTCCTTCCTGTTCAACCGTGTTCTGATTTGGGGACTTGTCGAGTGAATCTGTGTCCAAGAATACTAAGCAATAGGAATGGCTGGGTTATAACCGTAAGAGAGAAATATAACAGAACCAATCATTGGTCACCGGCTACCATGGGACTGCATCTCCTCACGATGCCCCACTGCCTTGTGGTCAGACCTTCAGGTCGAAGGCTCGGGGTGTGGCCCTCTAAGAAAATCACCTGCTTCGGTTTGGGCACCCGGGTAGTATCACAGTCCTCACACATATCAAATGAGATCTGTGTGGCGCATATGGATTTTGGTGCCTCCTTGTACCAATATCTATGTGTTAAAATAATAGTAATAATAATTGGTATCATTTGCGATCATATTGAAACTGTCATTGGAACCTTGACGAAAATTTTAAACTCTTTCAGTGTAACCCACTCATTCGATGTAATAGCAGAGATATTTGTCGTACGAGAAGGAAGCGGATCCGTATGCTGTTGGTTTTTATGTAATTCGTCCAATATGATAAAGTTTATTCATCTGCATGAATAAGTCCACATACACTGCAAGGCTAATATTACTTATAATTATTGTAATTAAAACAAGTTAGAATTTCTTATCCAATTATATTGTGTACGCAATTAATTTGCGCTTATTCATGTAGTTAATTTTGACCTGGTGTTTTTTTCTAAGCTTTCTGATCAATCTCATTATAGTATTTCTCTAATCAGAGATTTAATTAGGTGATAATTTTCTGTGTCAATTTCGTGTTCAAGCGACGAATGATCATGCATCCTTCGTAAGATCAAAGTTTATGGTTCATCTTTAACCGTACAGACTATTTTGTATCCCCATTAGTAAGTAATTCAACTGAGATGGAGTATTAAACTTAATGTACAAGTTTAGCAGAGCTCATCTTCAAACAGTCCCTTTTACAATGGAAGGAAACTGAACGACAGTTTTTGATACACTTTGGAGTTAAATGATTTTTAAGTGTTCAACTTTGGTTGATGAACCTTGAGACTTTTACTATCATCATACATTACTAACAAACTCAGAAAACAAACAAACATCAACATAGAATCTGACACAGATGTAGGTTGGTCTAAGTTATCATACCTGATTAGTACGATGTGATGAAAATCACAAATGAGATCGAATTAGTAAAACAGTTTGAAGTTTAACAAGACATACTGCTAAGATATGTATGAAGAGATATATCTACCCATGTATACATATTTTGTCTATATATAATTTTGGATTTTTCTAATTTGTGTTTCAAGTATCGTAATGCTTATAATATGAATTCCCAGCTATAAGTTTGGTCGATTTTTGCCAAATAGGTATGTATTAAATGGATCAGACATTTGGAAAAAGCGGTTAGTCTAGGTCATATAAATAAAGTAGCTGATAAAATGAATGGAATTTCTTATATGTATATAATAATAATAATAATAAAGACCGATGGCCTCATTGGTAAAAAGTGGTGACAAAACTGTGACGATTGGAAAATGTTTCATGGTTGTAGTTGAAATTCAGTTCAATGAATAGATTTCTCATTCATTCACCATGCATTTTGATATGAACCACACTTAATGTATCAGGTCTAATGATTTACTATCCAGTTGATCAAACTGAAAATGGAGCGGGTTTCGAACCTGTGGTCGGGAGCCAAATTCTTTAATCACTGAACTACCATGACATTGATGAATAAGTGAATATTAGTTCATAACGAGGAATGTAAAATATGGATAGTAAATCAGTTAATCTCTAATAATATAATAGGTTTAACATATGCAAAGATGAATAGTTACTATGGTGTATAGAGTTCAGATTAGCCTTATCACAATAAAACTAGTGCATAAATTATAGAGAGGAAATCAATACTCTCCTTTGGTGACTTATTTCAATGGGTTGTAATCATAATTATTGATAAATCGATTTCCAGTCAATCGGGATTATGTAACAAGAAACTTTTTATTTTTAAGACAAGATATATTTGCTTTTCAATTAAAAATCTAGAACTAGTGAAGTTAACATGTACGTGTAAAAGATAATAATAGTAATAGGTGAATATGTATGTGGAATAGATATGGAGGGAGTTAGTAGGGATTATTATCACAAATTGATCTTAGGCAATTATTGTAATCCATATAGTATTAAATCGATGTTTCATTGAAATGTGAAATCTCTTAACAAACCTTTCTTAACTTTATATATATATATATATATATATATATATATATATATATATATATATATATATATATGACCTATTTTGTTAGATCCTATGTAAGATCTTAAGGAAATCCTACACTATATTTTGATTACTGATCGTAATTTAAATGTTTAATCTATTATTTATACGAATATACCCAGTTTAATTGAATGCATGTGTGTTTATTTATTTTCTTATTGGTTGTAAATCAGTCAGTCTTGAGTGCTGTTAGAGGTATGAGGGCGGTTATCACTTCCCGGTTGCCCACACCGTGGAAGGGTTCTGCTGGGAGTGCCTGAAAAGGAAATTGGATTAGGGGTGGTCTTAGTGACCTGAGAGCGTGACTGCAGTGCCCAACGGACAGCTGCTTGAGGTCGGTCACACACGACCTTTTTATGAGTAATTTTTGTGTTAGCTCCGTAATTGTTGAGACCTTACCGCTGGAGACGGATATCCGTGGGATAAGGCGAGGTGTGCATTTTTAGGGTCGACCTTTTCTAACCCCACCCCTCCTTTTGGGAAGGCAGCATCGCTCTTATGCTGGTTGTCTGAAGGAAACACCTTACTGCTGTCACACCTCTGTACAGTGAACAGTACGACTTCGGACCTTGGTTTTGTTGCTTTTAGTCTTACCGCTCTTCAACCGACCTGTCTGGCATGGTAGGACCTTGAGGAACAGTTGTTCCAGCCAGTATAGCTCAGTTGCTTCATCACGATAGGCAAGCCCGACCACCACGTCAAGGTAGCAACAACGGTCAGGATTGGATTTGAATACAAACAATCAATAAATTGATTCACATTCATATACATATTTGTCCTTTTTACTCAATTCTTTGTATGTTTCATGGTGATCTAGCTTCAATTGACTTATGATTGGAACTATTCATTTATTTAAACAAATAAATATTGGTACAAAGGGGCATCGAATACATATGCACCACACAAGTCCCTTGATTTACGTGTGCGCTATGATACTGCCCGGGTGCCCAAACCAAAGCAGACTGTAAAGGACAAAAATCACAGTAGTAATTTTAGTTATGGGGCAAATGAAAGATATTGAATATTATAAGCTGATGGATAAATGAAGACGTAATTAGTGAACAATTAAGTAGTAGAAATTTATAGACAACTTCAGAAATTGAACGCTGTTAAACCTGGTACTTGCTGACGGTTAATATGGTATACGACTTTGGTACTTGAACGTGTAGAACTCCCACGTCGCGATTCAAAAGGCAGAAGAAAACAGGAAAAGGCTTTACTAAAGCAAATGTAAAAAATGTACAGAGAAACAAGTGTGTTTATAGTTTTTAATATAGACTGTGACATCAACATAATCCAGCCAATATACAAGCATAAATTTTATATAACTATTCAATTACATTTCAATATTATGGAAAATTCGGTCGGCACGTTAGTGACTGGAATCAATTTGAATCTGAAGAGTCTTCGTCACGCCTGGAAACCGTCCTAACATCTCCCAAAAAGGAGTTTCCGGAATATGATTTCCTGCCCGTTTCCACTTGTAACCTCGTCATTGTATTCCGTTTGAAGTTCACATCCTGTGATGGCTTATTTCTTTTGACTCTGTGTCTTCTGAATCTTTTGTTCCCTTGATCATTAGAACTCCTTTGAAAAGTCAACGTTTATGTCAAGTGGAAATCCGTCTTGTATGATTACTATCCTCTCATTCCTGCACATCTGATTTGCACGTATCATGTGTGTGGCATCACTTCCCCGAACCAAGTATAGTACTTTTCCGATTTTTCGTTCAACTATATAAGCTTTTC